CCCCTTCACCCCCCCCCAATTTCACCCACCGCCCACCGCCTTGTGATGGTCGGCTAATCGGTCGGTCTCTCCCTTCCCCCCCACACCCACCCACGACAGCACTCCTCGTTGCGCGGAAGCAGCAGCTTGTCGGTGCCGAACTACGGTGATTCGAAGCCGTCGTCTCTCCGGAACGGGCGGGTGCCGTCGCCCCCGCCGCCACGCTCGCCCTCGCCGCCTCCCTACCCGGGCCGTTCGCCTTCGCCGCCCTACCCCGGCCGCTCGCCCTCGCCGCCTCCAGCCCTCCCGCCTCTCTCGGCGGCAGAGCTCAACGGCTTTGCGTACGGCCTTCACCCCCCCCCCCGCGTGCCTGGGGGTTTGATGTTGGCCTAACCGCGGCTCGTCGTTGCGTGTGCGCGTGTGTGCGCGTGCGATTCGTGATGGTTTAACAGTGATTACGAAGGCGGGTCGTCGTCTCATCAGTCGCAACCGGCCTATGGCATGCAGTAAGCCCGAAGCTTTCCCGTCACTCAGAGCCACACTGACCCTCTCCCTTCCCATCCGGAAACAATTAGACATAGCAGCACAGACGGACTCGAACTCATGCATGGAGATGCGGCAGCGAATGATGAGCTCAAGGATCTCCTCGCTGACCTCGCGGGTTTCGGTTAATCCCTCCACACTCTTCCTCGCGAGCTGCAACACAATCACCGCCTCTGCTCATCATCACTACCCAGCCATCGTCGCTCGCGACACCGCGTGCGTCGGCGCTCGTCTTTTCTTCCCGTCTCCATACTCTCTCTATCCCTCTGTGCTGTCCATTCACTCCTCATGTTGTGCACATAAACCCACATTGTGTTGTATTCTACATCTTCACCACATTCTACATATCGTCGTCGTTATCATCTCCACCACAAGATACACCACAACCTCTGCACTCATGTTCCCGCCACCTCTCTTTCCTCCTTTTGTAAAGCTATGGGCAGCCATTTTTGATGATTTTCACATTAAAACACTTCATCCGCATGTTGTTGGTATAAAGCTGTTGAAAAGCGCTCTTTTTATTGGCAATCCGTGTCGCGCACGGCGACGCTGAGAGCGCAGACTGGGCTGGACTCTAGAAAAACTCTTGGCGGATGCCCTCCACGAAGGCGACGAGGTTCTTCTTGGTTTGAACGTGGTCGCGAATGCCGTAAACGGAGCCGATGCCGTAGATGCAGTTGTCGAGGATGCCGAAGACGGCAGCGTCCACAGGAGTGGGCTCGTCGCCGTTGAAGTAGGGGTGGTCGCCCAGAATGGTGGCCAGGGCGTCGATTTCGCGTCGGGCTAACCATACTCTGTCCTTCTGGGAGTAGCGTGAGTAGCCGTGGCCCCACAACCACCCTACCATATTTCGGCGGATGGACGGAACGATCAAAAGGCGGAACGGGAGAGGAAGGTCGCCGAAGTAGAGACCCTTGACGACGTTCCAAACCGAGAGGTCCACCCATCTCGCATGCAGGAGCAGCTGGTAGAGGGAGTCGTTGGTCACGTTGGTCAACAAAACGGAGCGTGCCTGCTCCTCGGGGGTCAGCTTGATGCGGATGCGGCCGAGGTGTGTTTTGTTCTCTCCAAAGGTGTTGATGAGATAGCGGATGGCCAGCTCGGAATCAGGCACCAGATTCTCGCCGTGCTCGATCATAGGCAGCTTAGCCTTGGGCGCGGTGACCACACTGCCGCGCGGAGATACGATTTTAATGATATTTTCATTATTTCCAGGAAAATAACAAAAAAGTTGTGCGTACTTTCCGTCGATGGCCTTGAAGTCCAGGGCTGCCATGCGCAGGAACAGTTCGAGCTTCTCGCAGAAGGGGCTTAAGGAGCACGCGGTCTGAGCGCTAGCGGGTTGTTTGAAAGTATGTAGCTTGATATGGGTCACCTGAATGAGGGTTTTTGTGTTGAGAAAATATGTCCATAATGGTTCGTTTCCCCCTGAAGAGAACGCACCGAAGAGTCGCCACGGTCGATAACATCTGATGTTTTCGGCTCGGGCTCTTCGCGGAGGAAGCGGAAGACTGCTCGCGCACCAATGGCGCCCAGAATGAACAACAGAGCCAAGCAGGGAAGTGACCCTTCTTCTAGCAGGGACAAGTGCATTGTCGCGGAGGCTTATGGCACTAAATAACTGGTAGTCTTTGCTCCCCGTGGATAGATTATTCTAAAAGGCGACGCAACCGCTGGGGATAGGCCGGTTGATCTTTGAATGTTGGTTGGCGCGCAATTTCCAACAGTTTCTTTCATTTTCTTGCGCAGCTGGAGGAGCCGACCTGATGTGTGAAGAAGTAAGAATCAGGAGGGGAGAGCGGTTGAGAGTTGAGCAGTTGAGAGTTGAGTGGTTGAGAGTTGCCTGCCACACCAGAAGGCAAGCACAGATGGGTGAGGAGAAAGGGGGTGTGCTGGCTGGAGGATGTCAGGAGATGAGACAAATGAGAGAGAGGGTAATGGGAGAGGTGGATGCTGATGAAGTGAGGAGTGCTGTGGGGGATGGTGAAGGAGGCATGGTGGAGTGATGGTAGTGTGTACTCACCTAATACTACTGTAATTGGTGTACTGTTTCTGCAGGATGTTGAGAATGGAGAAGAGGTAGAGCACCTCATAGAACTTGTGGTCATTTGAAATGAGGTGGCTGCTCACTGTGAGGGTGGCCTGGAGCTGCTCTTTATCATTCAGTTGATATCAAATTGTTGCAGCATTCATCTTCACATGATCTGTGGGGCTAGGAGCAGACATATTAGCAAACATTCTATTGCATATGCATATGTGATAGAATGTCCTGCAGTTGTGATAGAATCACTTCTGGTGGAAGAGATGCTAATGTCCATGGTAGTGGTCATCTTTCTCTTGTTGTCATTATTCCTTTGTTTTTGAATGAGGAGCACACAGGACCAGCAGCCGCCAAGGCTTGGGATAGGTAGGGCGTGTGTGTTGGGATCATCAATGATGATGATGATTAGATGAGCATGCCGCTGCGGTACCACTTGCGCTTCTCGTTGGGCGCGGGCGAGCTCTCGGCGCTGCCGGCCTCCTTCTCCTCCTGGATCTTCTTCACGAACCGCGAAAGGGTCTTGGGGTCGAGGTAGTAGTTGGCCGACGCGTCGTCGTTGAGGCCCAGCAGGTGGTTCCCGCTGCCGCTCGCCTTGCCCCCCTTCTCCTGCCCCATCGGCGAACTGATCGCCTCCTTACCCGCTCGGCTCTGCCCAGACGCAACACACACACGAGCCGCGTGAGCCCAACGCGATTGAGGCAGAGGGTGATGATTGTGGGGAGGGAGGGATCGTACCCTCTCCCTCTCCTTGGGGTACATGTCCTGGAAGTGGAGGATGTGCTCCTTCCTGAAGGAGGTGGTCAACAGTCGCAGCTTCTCCGACCCGTGCGAACAGAACTCGGCGTTGATGACTGCCAAAAGAGCTCATCATGGTTAGACGTCCACTCGGTCGGCTGGTATTGGGGGGGGGGCGTAAGTACTCTTGGTGAGGAGGAACTCGCGGAAGTAGGCCGACTTGGAGAGGACGCCGTTCTCGGGCAGCTCCGGCGTGGGCGGCACCACCTCCTGCTTGTAGTTCATCGAGATCCGGTAGTTGGTCGCGTGCTTGTCTCGGTTGGGCTGCACCACAGCGTAGGCGTCTGCAGGCGTTGATGGTTGTGAAACCAACCGATGGTCAGCTTGCGATTTTATAACTTTGGGACCAATGAAATTGGAGTAGGAAAGAGGAAAGGGAGGGGGGGGGAGCGGTGCACGTACGGATGAAGCCGCCAAAGTCGAGCTTGAGCGGCGAGTTGCCCTCGTAGAAGACGATGGTGACGACGTCGTTGCCGATGTGACGCTTTCGGCCCAGCTGCTGCGGGTCGGACGGGCTGGCGTTGAGGTAGGGCGCCACGTGGAACATGATGGGGAATCCTCTGTACTCAGTGTACCACGAGTGCTTGCAGTCATCTGCTCACGCGTGTGCGTGTGCGATGGTGCGTGTGCGGTAAGTATGCGGTATGCGAGGGTGGTGGGAAGGCGAGCGGGCTTATGCGTGCCTTTGTTGAGGCCGGCCTTGTAAGCCTTGGGCTTGTCGAAGGTATCGATGTCCACCTTGGTGCCCATCAGCTCCAGGAACTCCTCGAACGCCGGACTCGTCTGATCTGCACACATTTCGGTGCCATCGGCCAAAAAATGAGAACGACTCAGAGTCGGCATGCACGGCCGCAGGCGGTGAGTGGTGAGTTTGGTTTAAACGGGTGACGTACTGTTGGCGTAGATCTCGTTCTCGGTCTGGCCATCTCGAGCGTACAGGATGCCGAACCTGAGAGGATTGAAGTACTGCGGGCGGCGTATAGAAATATACAAGTAAATAATAAAGTTAACAATATGTAATATTTACATAAACAGATTTCTATATGATAATAAAAGGGTGGGCGCGAGTACGAGCTTGCTCTCGAGCTGCTTGAGCTTCTGGTGGCACGAGGGGTGTCTGATGACCCAGAGGTCGCTGAGCTTGAGCGGGATGAGCTGCTTGAGCGCCTTCAGGAGCTGCTGCGACGAGGCGTAGGTCTGGTGCTTGCCCAGCTTGATGAAGCTGGCCGGAATCGCAAAGCGGTGGTCGCCCTTGGTCGTCCTCACTATACGTTTGGTAAATCTCCGTAAATAAAAACATACTCGATTCGACACCGCAGCAACTGAGGGGGAGGAGGAGCTTACCGAGAGCGCGGTACCAGCAGGTGCCCGGCTGCGGGGTCTTCTCGATGCTGATGCAGACCGGCCCCTGGATCCTGTCCGTGCCAATGACGTTCGTGTGCACTGTGATGTGACGGTGCGTGCGCGTGGTCAGTGGTTGACTGCAAATGATTGATTGCTTGCTTGATTGACTGACTGGACTGCAGGGTGGTACCAGTGTTGATGAAGTAGTTGTTGTAGTCGAGGAAGGCCAGATGCTCCTTGATGCCGAGGTAGGTGAGCTCCTCCTCGCCCCTGCGCTCCTCCTCCCACTCCTCGGCCTCGCTGTCGTCCGTGTTGGGATCATCGTTCTCCTTGTCCTCCTCCTCATCGGCCTCGGGCACGTCGTCCTCGTCAATCCCCTCCGTGAAGTAGCCCCTCAGCGTCTGGATCGCCGTGCACTTGGTCTGTGTGTCGTGTCGTGTCGTGTTTCGTGTGTTGTGTCGAGTGCTATGGTGAGCAGCGATTGCACTGAGTCTCGCGAGTTGGGTGCGAGGCGCGTACGGAGCGGGAGTAGCCGAGGAGGCCCAGGGAGCCGGAGGACCCGGCCGCGGCCGGCTTGACGGCGCCCGACTCGCTGAGGAGGCCGATGGTGTAGACCTTGGCCTTCTTCTCGCCCGAGGTGGCGAGCGAGTCGCCGGCGGAGGACCCCTTGGCGATGGCCGACAGCGCGGCGTGCTGCTTCTTCATCTCCTCGCGCTTGGCCATGGACGACGTCGTGAACTCGTGGAGCGGGTTGCCGTCCAGCAACAACTGAAGCGAGGCTGCAGGTGACACGACGTTGTACATGAGCCCATCACTCAAGCAAGCGCGTGGTGAAGTGGAGGTGGAGGCGAAGGTCGGTGTACCGCCAATCGAGAGGAAAGTGCGGCGGCGGTTGCTCTTGCGACGGGCCACCTTGCGGGCGTGCTGGCTGATCGAGAGCAGCTTCTCGGGGACCGACGTGAGCCTGTTCTCGCTGGCGTCGACGATCCTCTGCAGGAGAAAGATGTCAGACAGATAATCAGACAAAGAATCTCATCGAGAGAACAAGCGCACCAGGTGAGGAAGAGAGGCCAGCTGAATGGGAAGTGTGGTGAGCAGATTGTTGGCAATCTTGAAGTCCTCCAGATTCTGTGCCGAGCAATGAAAGGTTAGGGTGGTCTTTACATCAGATGAAATCGTTAGTACGGGGGCGTACCTGGAGATTTTTGATGGTCTTCGGGATGACCTGAATGTAGTTGTTGGACAGGTTGAGGTAGGTGAGCTCGGGCAGCATGGTCAGCTCGCCCGGGATCTTGTCCAGCTTGTTGTTGGAGAAATCCAGGTGCTGGATGAAGGGGTGGTGCAAGCACAGCCTGTGCGTTCAGGTTGGTTAAAGAGAGATGAATGAGATTCCGACAGGGGAATGAAATGCTTACCGAACAGGGATATCCCTGATCATGTTCTGAGCGACCTCCAGAATCTCGAGGTTGTTCAGGCCATCAAAGATTTCCGGGTCGAGCTCCTCGATCTCGTTTTCATTGAGGTAGAGCGCGCTGAGATTTTCGAGCTGGGTGAGCTCGCGAGGCAGGGTGCGCAGCCTGTTCTTGCTCAGATCGAGCTCGTGCAGCCTCGTGGCCATCCACACGCTGGAGGGCACGTCGGTGAGGCTGTAGTTGACCAGCTTGAGCTCCTTGAGGAAGGGGCGCTTTGCCCGCTGGAGCATCTCCTCCAGGCTCAGATCGCGCAGATGGGATTCGACCGGCTTCATCTTTGTCTTCTTGTGTCCTCAGTCTTGCTTGCACGTCGTCAGACTGCAGGATATTTATCAATTATGATGGGTGACCACCGTTTGGCGCCCTTTTCACGCCAAGCGCTCCGGAACGCGTTGCTGGAGCCTCTGGTTGTTAGGCCTCTTCTCTTTGGCGCCAAAAAATAACGGGCGGGGGAGTGCCACGTCATGTTATTAGAACTGGCTTTTTTCCGGCCACCCAACTGGCGCTTTGATCGCGGCATTCCCGGGAAAGTAGTCGCTCCCTTGCCTGGCTTGGGGTTCGCGCTGCTGTCGTAGTTCTTTTGGTTGTTGTCTTCTTCACCGCCGCAGCTGCCAAACGTAGAGAAGAGAAAGAGAGAAGATGTCTCAATCGCAAGGAGTGCTCAAGGACACGATCGCGGGCGGCTTCGGCGGTGCCTGCCTGGTGCTCGTTGGGCACCCGCTGGACACGATCAAGGTGCGCATGCAGACCATGGTCGTGCAGCCCGGTGTGCCTCCTCCGTACACGAGCACCTGGGATTGCGCCATGAAGACCATGAAGGCCGAAGGTCCTCTCGCTCTCTACAAGGGGTACAGCGCCCATCTCCAAATCTGAACCCAATCGCTCGTGATTTTTCTAACATCTGGCGTACCCCGCCCTGTCCCCGCTGTGCCCACTCACTGACCCCTTCTCTGTCGCCTCCAGCATGGTGGCGCCACTGACTGGCGTTACACCGATGTACTCGCTGTGCTTCTTGGGTTACTCGTTCGGCCAGAAGATTTTCTGCAAGGAGGACACCTACAAGAACCTCGACCTTGTCCGAATCGGTCTTGCCGGTACACTCCCCTTGCCGGCCCGCGCCTTCCCTTTACCCAGCACTTCGAAAACAAGCATGAGCCAGTGACACTTTTGCTCACCAACGCGGTCAAACAGGTGCCACTTCGGGCATCTTCACCACTCCGATCTTGGCGCCACTTGAAAGAGTCAAGTGTCTGCTGCAGATCCAGGGCAAGACTGGCCAGTACAAGGGTCCCTGGGACTGCGCTGTCAAGCTCTACAAGGTGCGCCCCTTGCACTAAGCGGTGTCTTCTTGATTTATTTTTAATTATTATTATTTTTTTTTGCAACGACAACCACAGGAGGGTGGAATTGCCAACGTCAACAAGGGCTACATGGCCACAATGCTCAGGGACTCTGTTGCTTCCTTCTTCTACTTCTCTACCTACGCTATCCTCAAGCACGCCATGACGCCCGAGGGTATCTACGTTACTATGCTACACTGTCATGTTGGCCCATGTTGCCTCTGGCGCTGACGGTGTTGTCTATATATGGTGTATGCAGGTCAAGCCCAGCCTAGCGCATGGGGCACCCTGTTCGCTGGTGGCATGGCTGGTATCTTCAACTGGCTGGGCTGTATCCCCATCGACACCCTGAAGACCAAGCTTCAGACCGCTCCGGAGGGTACGCTCTATCTACCACTCTTCTCTGCTCTCCACCAATAACGCCGAGCAACCATGCGCGCTTGATGGCATCTGTGCGTGCGTGCGTGCGTGCGTGCGTCATGGCCGCCACGGTCTCACCGTTGCTTAAACGTTTCACAGGCAAGTACCCCAACGGTATCCGCAGCGTGTTCAAGGACGTCATCAAGAACGACGGCTGGCGCGCCCTGTA